TGGGGGTTCCTATTACAAAACAGGAACTTGCAACGACTACAAATACGTAGGCACGGTTAAAGCCAGCCAGCATTGTTATTACAATTAGAAATCGAAACTGGAATAAATCTCAACTTGCTACGCTAAGAAATAGCTAAATTCTGACTTGGTCAGACTAAGAAATAGGGAGTTTGAAAGCAGCCCGGGCAACATGGCGAAACCCTGTCTCTAAAAAAATTCTGGTGTGGCGGTGGGGAGCTTGTAATTCCAGCAGCCCGAAAGACTGAGGCAGGAGAAATACTGGAGGTTGCAGCGAGCCGAGATCGCACCACTGTACTCCAGCCTGGGAGACGAAAACGGACAAACAAACCAACAAACAAAGTTAACATTCTGAATAGGTTTATCAACATAAAGACACTGCTAGCTAACATTGGCTAGCATCTCTAGATCTGCTAGAGATGTTGCCTTTCTAGATCTGCTTACCATGCTTCAGTCACCTCTATGTTCCAAGAAGTAACCTGTATGGACTGCACTGGAGAGCTACTTTTGCCACCAGGCTTCTGATTGAGTTTAGGCTCTGAAAAACACCAGCTCTTCAGAGATATGGAGTAGACTTGCTTTGTTCCCCCTGGGCCTCAGTGTATTGAATTATTTTACCTGAAGTCAAAGATACGCTGCGCTGCGGCTCCAACAGGTCCAGCAGACACAGGGAGGGCAGCACTGAAAGGGCAACACTTCGTCCTGGACGTCTCAAAGTCCAGCCCCTGGTGATCCCGGCAGCCATCTGCCAGACCCTCTGAGGCCACAGCTGCCTCACTTCTCACTTGAGCCATCTTCCCAGCATAAATAGCCGCTGCCTCCTCCGCCGCCGCCCTCTCCTCACACCCCCTGTGAATCTGAAGCCTGCACGCAGGAAAAAGCAGCCCTTTTTTCTTCCAACCTCCCCACCCCCAACTCTCAGGCGTAGAGTGTGCTTAGTGCGCCCCCAGCCCTGTCAGTTCTTCCGGCTCTTATTCCAATTCGGGAGCCCTCACAGGCGTCTCTCCTAACTGGACCCTAGGGACCCTGAGTCTACTGAAGCCAGGAAACCCACCCCTTGAAAACCTCCAGTGACTTCACAAAGATACCCAGCCCCTAATTGAGCAAGAGACCATTCCCTGAGGAAAGAAAGTTCTGTGGTGGCTTATAGGTTCCTCTTTTTTTTCTGGGACCTCTTTTCTCAGTTCTGCTCATTTCACTCCTCTAGTGGGAAGACCTCAATCCTCCTCTCCCTTCCTCTACCCACTGTCGAGGTACACACACACACAGACGCACAGACACACACACACACACACACACACACACACCCCTGGGGCTGCTCGATGTTTCCCTCCTCTGTCTTCCCTTGTCTTTCCTGTGCAGCAGAAGGTGGATGTTGATCATCATCCACCTTCAGTGTCCTATTCTCCCCACACAGAGGACACAAATTGGTGAAATGGGATTGATTTTTGTCCTCTGGTGGATCAGCAGCTGTCCTGGTTTCTGCCTTACACACCAAACGATGTGCTTGACTGCTTTTTTCAGCTTGGGTTAACCTGCTGATCCATCAGCATAGCCTATTACAGATAGAATCCAGGTTATCTATGAGTGCTGGAGACAGCCACATGCCACCCTGGAAGTCCCTCACAGCTCTCCCTGGTCTTCTTTTCTCAGCCAGGAGATAGAGGAAGAGCGTCAATAGGGCTGGGAAATCAACTACTACCTGAATTTCCTAACTTCCACATCACTTCTGGAGCCATGCCAGTTAGGGATCTCACCAGTCATTTAATGTACCCTGGGGGAGACCATTGTAATAGCACTTGAAATCCCAGGGACAGCAAGGGTCCCACTGAAAGCACCTGGCACAGTATTCCCTGGTAGAATTTGGAATCCAGTTTTCCACTGACTGTTGTCAATTTGAAACCCAAAGAAATCAGCACATGTGCTGCTCCTCTGGAAGGTCCAGCAGACACAGGGTCAAATCCTGTAAAATAGTTGATGACATTTATTATGAACCAAATGTGAGTGACCATTAGCCCATAAAACAGCCCTCAGGAGATCCTGAGAACATGTGCTTCAGGTAGTCAGTGCACAACCTGGTTTATATATATTTTAGGAAGTCATGAGATCAATACATTTAAGGTGTATATTGGTTCAGTCCAGAAAGGCAGCATAACTGGAAGCATGACCTTTCAAGTTGGAGAGGTTCAAAAATATTATGATTGGCAATTTGTTGCAATAACTATTATCTCTAGAAAGGAATGTCTGGGTTGCCATAAGGTGTTCCAGAGACAAAGGTGTCACAGATGAAGCCTCCAGGTGGAAGACTTCAGAGAGACAGATTGTAAATGTTTCTAACCAGACTTCAAGAGTCTGTTCTATCATTAATTTTAAAAGAGAGGAAAATATAATGAGGCATGCCTGACTCCTCCTTTACAGCATGGCTTGAAACTGCTTTTTCAGGATAACTTTGGAATGCCCTTGGCTGAGAACCTCTTGGTGGCAGGGGGGCTTCAAATTTTATTTTTGATTTACAATAGCAATGAAGTAATAACTACATTGAAGTTTAGTAAATGAATGAGCCCTCATCCACTATGGTTATGTTTATATCCTGGCCTGAAAACCAATTTGTTTCCTCTTTTTATTGTTTTCTGGAATTATTCCTGGATATGAGGACTCTACCTGTCAGAGTTCACTTAGGAAAAGCAGCCCACACTGTGAAAGCCAAGCTAATGTGCTGCCACCCCACTGTAAAACCATAACCAGAATGACTGTTCATCTTTTTATTGCCTCATGTCCCACCAAGTCTGCCTACCATTGTGACCCTGTTTGTAAGACAAATTTAGAAATGGGGGTTTTAGGAGTCCAGGCCCACAACTCAAGGGAGGAAACGAAAGAGCGTAAATGTGCCTGACCACGAAGAATAAACACAGTAAAATAAAAAATTAAATGTGTTTTAAAAGCTACATTTAAAAAAAATTTTTTTTTTTTTTTTGGAACGGAGCCTTCCTCTGTTGCCCAGGCTGGAGTTCAGTGGTGGGATCTCAGCTCACTGCAACCTCCACCTCCCAGGTTCACACTTTTCTCCTGCCTCAGCCTCCCGAGTAGCTGGGACTGCAGGCGCCTGCCAACACGCCCGGCTAATTTTTTTGTCTTTTTAGTAGAGACAGAGTTTCACACTGTTAGCCAGGATGGTCTGGATCTCCCAACCTCGTGATCTGCCCGCCTCGGCCTCCCAAAGTGCTGAGATAACAGGCGTGAGCCACCACACCCGGGCCACCACACCCGGTCTTTTTTTTTTTTTGAGACACAGTTTTGCTCTTGTTGCCCAGGCTGGACTGCAGTGACGCAATTTCGGCTCACTGCAATCACTGCCTCCCGATTCCAGCGATTCTCCTGCCTCAGCCTCCCGAGTAGCTGAGATTACAGGTATGCACCACCGTGCCTGGCTAATTTAGTAGAGATGGGTTTTCATCATGTTGGTAAGGCTGGTCTTGGACTCCTGACCTCAGGTGATCTGCCCACCTCAGCCTCCCAAAGTGCTGGGATAACAAATGACTTCTTTTAACACAAAAGTCCAATGTACTATCACTGTACTAACTACAAGAGTAGACAACAAAAAAACCATTTTATTGGATGACACTATGCCATAGGCAATGAGTTCCTCTAATTGAGCACAGGTTAAAAGTTGAGACATGACCATTTTCATCGCATCCATGAAGCTCTGTGGCTGTACTTACAATCTCAGTTGGAGGAAAAATCTAACATCTACATTTGAGGTTCATGAGTCTGAGGCCTTGTTTGATTGGCCCTCCTGTGGATATCCCTTCACCCCATTGGCCCCAAGCCTATACATCTTATTAGATTTGAGCTTAGTCCTCTGAGTGGGGTCTTGGAACCAGGAGCCTGGCTCTTGGAATATCTCCATTAATGTTTGCTGAGTTTTTAAATACATTTTTTCAAAAATAGGGATTACAGGATAGCAGTTAGGTTCTAATGAGAAAAAAGAGATCGGAAATATGAACAGGGGTTTCCAAATGCTGCTCCACTTATTTTTTAGATATCAGACTCTGCAATCCCCTTCCTACATTTATCCCTGCATGTCATTTTTTACCAAGTGCTTCCATAATATAATCCAACTTACAAATATTTATAATATTCACCTGAATTCAATATCATGAATTAAGAACCGTATGTCTTCAATAATCCCTTAACAGCCATATGATTATAACTCAAATCCAGGAATTCTAATTCATTCTGGAAGCAGATACCTCTCAGATACACTCTGAGTATACTCAAGTCCTCTATAGTCTTACTCGAAAGGAGACAAAAGTTATAGCTGCACTGGAAACATCTGAGCCATTCCAGATTCTTCAGCCTAGCAAGGTTAAAGTCAGACCTTGAAAACAATTGAGTTCACTGGGGTCCAGTATCTGGACTTTTTATGCCATATATTCATATATCTACTTTCCTATTTTGAAATACAAAGCAGCACCAAATTTACACAAATCTTTTATTTCCCCACCTTCAGACAGAGTCTCCCTCTGTGGACCAGGCAGGAGTGCAGTGCCACAAACAGGGTTCACTGCAGTCTCGACCTCCTAGACTTAAACAATCCTCTCACCTCAACCTCCACAGTAGCTGGCAGCAAGGTGCATGCCACCACCTTGGGTTAATTTTTTTATTTACTGTAGAAATGGGGTCTCCCCCTGTTGCCCAGAGTGGTCTCAGACTCCTGAGCTCAAGCAATCCTCAACTTCAGCCTCCCAAAGAGCTGGGATTACAGACCTGAGCCGCCATGCCCAAATTCACACAAACCTATACCCCCAGCTCAGACTCTGATGCTGCAGACCTGGATTCTTTCTTATTTACTAAATGACTCTTTTGAAAGCCCCCAGACAATTCTAAATCCAGTCTTACTCAACCTGAAGATTCCTGATCTTGGTTAATGACAAACATATATATATGTTTGTCATCATATATATATATACACACACACACATGCAAAATTCACAAATTTTATCTTAGAATAAATTTTATCATTTCTTGCTTCCTTGCATCCTTGCCTTCCTCTCTAACTCTAAATCTAACCAGGTGACTGAATGCTTCATAGCATATACTTATCACCCTCTACATCAGCATCCCCCCTTCCCAGGAGAAATTGCATCTTCCCTTTCACTTTCCTCAGCAAAGGATTCCTGGTAACTCCATCCAGAAAGATTCTCCTGGTGTTCTTCAGATTTGAGGAAAAGCAGATTCCTCTGACAAGGCTGCTTGTTGGTTCAAATGAGCACCATGACATTCATGAATTCCATTATACTGTTAAATCAGAATTCTGCTTTCAGAAGTCCAAATTCACAATATCCTGAAGCACCACTGATTTCCTCCTACAGGAAAGATAGACACACACACATAATTGTTAGTCAAGAGTTTATCGGTCACCAAAATTGGGTAAACTCTTGGAACTTGTCAGTGAATACAGCCCCAAATTACTGCAGCAAATGGAACCAGGAAGAAGAAATTCTGTGGAGGAACTGTGAGGAAGAACATGTGTGGAGGTGCATTGGAGTGGTAGTCACACGGCTCCACTGTACCCTGCAGTGTCTAGTGGATCCTGAGGTTTAAATCTATCAAACATTTGTAAAGTGTTCCACAAAACAAACAAACAAAAAAACCCCACAAAACCCTGTAAGTTACAGGTAAGCTTAGGACAGGCAGGAAATTGGGAGGGTGAATCTTCAATCCCAGAGACCAATGGCAAATGGTTCATTTTCTTAGGTGAACCACAGGCATGGTGGAGCCCTCCATTGGCACCAAGAAGAATTCTTCACTTTCTTCTCTAGATTACTTATCCTGGGACATTTTTACCTTTCACTTTCTATCTAGACTGCTCCATGGTCTTTGTTTCCACCTGCTCTACTACATTTATAACTGTTACCATCTTTTCTGAGTCTAAAATCAAGAACCAATACCTGACAAAGAAGTAGATTGTTAAAACCAAGAGTTTCTCTATATCAGGAAAGTATTAATATGAATTCCTGCCTCCTAATTTATTAGTTGCCCAGCTTTCTGCAACATACCAACTGACCAGAAGATTCACCTGTACACACCACCTGAGTGTTGGGGACTTTTTCTTTCTTTCATCCCTCCCACCTCCCACCATTTTTCTGTTTTGTGTCACTTTCATTTGGTTAACAATATTCTAACAAGATTTGTCATTATAGTTCTCTTAGTTTGATGAGATTTTTCTTCATGAAATTGAACAAAAATATCAGTCTTTCTTAATTCTTAATTCTTTATTGTTTTGAATGACACATCAGGAAGGGAAATAGGAAAGGCTCTACATCATTTGTCGTATGTGCTCCACAATTTGCCCTCAAGTTTGAATCCTAGGTCCTACCACCCACATGAAACTGCCATTGCCAGCCTCCTCCAATTCTACCCAATATCTAGCCATTGTCATACTGCAAAGTTCCTATGACCTCCTCCCAAGGGGCTCAATTCTGTACTTCACCTCTTCCTGACCTCCCTGGAATCCACCCCGCCTCCAACCACACTGGAATTAGAATCTGAATTCTGCAACTACCTTGATGTCAGTCTCTGTAGGGGAGCAGCCTGCAGCCTCCTATGCACTCCCATTAAGACAGGTTATTCCTTCCATCTAGGGGGTGCTGATTGCAACTTTTTTGCTAAGATGAAAAGCTGGAATCAATGAGAAGAGAGGAGTTACGGCAGGTATTTTGCTTTGCAATGGCTCCAGACTGCTCTTCTATTTGATAAAGTAGCTGTAACTATGTAGGTGGAAACAGTGCAGTTTTTTCTTTATTCTCCCATCCACAAAACCAGGAGGGAATTGGAAGGGCCTCAAATACCAGGGAATGTTTTGGCTAGGTGAAGATGGGGTAAGGAGATATTGAGGCAAATATCTTGAGAGAGGGTGAGAATTACAAGGCCAAAATGGATTTCCTTACCAGGCAGGGCATATCTCTTCCTTTGTCCTGGCATGGTCTCTACCTAGGATCCCCCAGGGAAAGGATAGTTTGGTTTGCACAGGAGCAGCAGTGGTGAAAATGGGCAATGATGAGTGTGGATGGAGATGCTCGTGGCAGCGTCTGTAGGTCTCTTTGAGAGGGCTCAACTCACAAAGTGCAGATTTTTATTAAAATATAAATGCTTGTGGAAAAGGACATTTTCCTACTGAGCAGCGGCAGTTCCATATTTCTTCTCAGATAAAGAAAAAAAAAATAGGCCTCAATCTGATTGAAAATGAGGAGATGGAGGATTTGAGCACTTACAAGTACATCTGCATTGAGTTTCCCAGAAGACAGAAAGAAATCAATGATGCATTTCGAAGATTATGCTGCTAGAGACAGAGAACCACAACTTGAGCTTTTCTCTGGGCTTAGAGAGGAGGTGTATGTCTCGCTGCCAGTTCTACATCCAACGCTGGAGTCTTTCAGCCCATTTTTCTCCCCGGCGGTTTTTGAACTACTATCCCCAAATATCAAGGATATCTCACAGAGTGAACCATCAGAATAAGGAGCGATTGCCACAGAGTTCCATCCAGTAGGGGAGGGACTTGTGCGGGGCAAGCCTGATGCCTGGGTCAGGCGACACTGCGCCTTTCATTCCCCACGGAGATCTTGGACCTGGAGTTTCCAAGTTTCGAAGAGATGCGGTTGTCGACGGCTCCCCTAAAATCTCTGATGGCTCTGAAGGGGGACAAAGGTCTAGGGCAGAGGGATGGTGTGGAAGGACCCAGCCACGGCCATTGGAAGAGCAGTTTCCTGCTGTGTAAAGCTGTTTGCCACCTGCACAGCTTTGGCTCTCTGCCAGGACGAACCACATCCGTCCCATTCACGGTCTTTATTCCAGCTCATTTCCCTCTGCGAATCACACTGGGTGGGTCGCTGGGGCCCTCGGTAATTACGGATCATGGCACAGCCAAGAAAAATACAGGTTTTCGTAAGCCTGAAGCCACTGACTTGAGCAGACAGAGTAGGAGTAATGCCAGCAGTAGTTTTGTGTTCCGTTTTCGTTTTTATGTTCTAGTCACTAGGCCACAAGAGAATGTTCCACTCAGTGCCAGTCGATCTGTCACGGCGCCCCACCTTTCCCTGAACGGAGGGTTTGTGGCTGACATCTCCAGTTTCTCAGAGCCTGGGAGTGATCGCTGGCTGCACCGTTGATGGCGCCCAAAAGAACGGGCATTTGTCTTTGGCAACAGCGCTGGCTTTCGCCTCGTGCCCGCGCTTGAGAGGTCCTAGCGCCGCCAGATTCTCACACTAGCGGGTCCGGCGCCCAGCGCTGCTCCTCCCACCAATCATCGGTTTCTCACACTCACTTCATTGGCAGCACTGACCGGTCAGTTTTCTGGTGGCGGCGACGCTAGTTGGTCTAAATGAAACGTTTCCCTTCTCTCTCCGTGAGTCCCATTCTCCATCCCACGTCCTCCAGTGCCGGGGTCATGGTCGCAGCACCCGGCATTCATGTTGACTCTTTTGCCAGCTGCGTGGAGCCGGCGGTCTTTCTGTCACAGCACTTGTACAGACTTTCTCGGCTGCCTAACGTCTCTTTTTTCCTCAGAGACGACGGTTTCTTGGTGACAGTGCCGTTGGCTGAGACGTAACGAATGTTCTCCTTGACAACCCCACAGGCTGGCGTCCCTTGTAGGCTCCAGACGCAGCCATGTCGCCAAGCTGAGATCTCTTGGTTGCGGCACTGCTCCTGGCTCGGTGCCTGCATTTTCTCGGTGGCTACAGCGCTCAGGTCGCCGATCTGAGGGCTTCGGAGTACCGGCCGGGCGCGCTGGCTCACGCCTGTAATCCCAGCACTTTGGGAGGCCGAGACGGGCGGATCACGAGGTCAGGATATCGAGACCATCCTGGCTAACACGGTGAAACCCTATCTCTACTAAAAATACCAAAAAAATAGCCGGATGTGGTGGCGGGCGCCTGTAGTCCCAGCTACTCGGGAGGCTGAGGCAGGAGAATGGCGGAAACCCTGGAGGCGGAGCTTGCAGTGAGCCGAGATCGCGCCACTGCGCTCCAGCCTGGGTGACAGAGCAAGACTCCATCTCAAAAACAAAAACAAAACAAAACAAAAAAGAAAAGAAAAGAAAGAAAGAAAAAAGAAACATAAATCTGTGTACCAGCGAATGTGATTTTTTTGGGTTTACCGATGATCAAGTTACCAGTGCCTGGGAGCTCTTATACTAAGTTTGTTTTCGCAGTATCAAGTCCTGCCTTAGCTAAGCTTGTGTGTTTTTTAAACTGCCATGGAAGTCAGGAAATGTCGGCAAACGCGATTTCTGGTTATCAAGCTCCGTTTACAATAGCAAGTCGGGCTGAACGCGACTTTTTCCTCTTGTGGACCAAGTCTGAATATACCAACTACAGGGATTTTTCAGTCGAAATCAAAAAGGTTTAGCCCTGACGGGTTTTTTGTGGTTGGTGGTGGTGGTGTTGTTTGTTTTTGTGTTTTTCGTAGGAAATGTAGACTTAGGTGTAACATGTACCGGTTTAGATCTGACAGAGATAGCCTAATCGTAGAATTGCATCTTTTAGCAAGGTTTGTAATTTATTCTTTGTAGGGTTGCTTCTCTGTAATTTTTGCTTATTTTTAAATTTTCTCTTTGTGTCTTTTGCTCTGAGAACGATGTTACCTATGTGTTTGCTTTCCATGTTTACTTGCCTTTTAGCCTTTCATTATTTTTTAATTTTATTTTTATTTAAATGTTATGTATTTTTTAATACTAATTTTGAGCGTCTCCGCTTCCTGCTTCTTTACTTACATTCTCTCAGGATCCAGGCAGTCGAGCTCGGTCTCAGTCTCGTTGCTGTCAGGTCCCCGTTGTGTCTGGTGGCTCTGCTTGGTACGCAGAGCTGATGGTTTTGCATCAGCGCTTTTGCCAGTAGCGCCGACTAGCTTTTTTTCAGTTGAGGCACGGTTCTTAGCGCCCAATGTGACGTTTCCCATTCGCGGGGTCCTTATGTTCTCGGTGCTGTCATTTTATTGGTTCTTGCACCGCTAGTATCTGCTAAGAACTTCCTAAAACACGTTTTACTGTGCAGAACTGTGATTGTACCGAGCCGCTGTACGCACTAGTAATTTCATAGCACCGTTAGCCGGCGCTTTTTCTGTCACAACACATTAAAATGGGTTAAAATACTTTAAGCGGATTAAACACATTAAAAGGATTAAAACACATTAAAATGTCTCAACACATTTTTTCTGACATAACACATTTAAAAAGAGTGGGTTCATTCCTCCAAACAGGTTGTTTAGGCGTAGAAGCACCGGTCTTTCCCAAGAGCACGGTTTGTCTCTAACAGCACCGTTTATGGCACCAAAATAGGTATTTGTTTGGCAACACCAGCGCTATCCGCTAGGTGCCGGCGCTTGCTGAGTCCCAGCGCCGCCAGTTTCTCTTTAGGTCCTAAATAGCTCAGAGCCCTAACGGACAGTTTTCAGGTGGCAATAATGCTCATTTCCTGGAAACAGATGATTCTTAGTCCTTGAAGCTCTGCGATCTGTAACGCTAGTTCTCTGCAAGGTTTGCTTAGTGTCCGTTTTATTTCAGTTTCTTTTCTCACTGTGGTTTTCTGTCGGAATTACAGTTTGTTTTGGTTCTATGTAATCTCTAAAATGTTACCGTTTTTCATTTGTCTACTAATTTTCATGCATTCATTACTATTGAGTTTCATAATACCTGGCTTGCCTCCGCCCACGGCCTCCGGAAAGCATAAATACCCAAGCTGATGGGAGTGCTGAAGGCTCTGTCTCATTGATCAGCACAAACGTTTTGTGTTCTGCTCTAAGGTTTAAGCAATGGAGCAAAGTTTTCTTGGCTGTGCGAAGTGGACTTGGGATTCCGCAGAGGCGACACCAGAGCCCTGGCCTCCACCTGCTCTGGGTTCAGAAGATTGTGGGAGGTGGCCTCTCCCTTTTTATCCAGTACCAGGAGAGTACTCATTGGACAGTTGTGATTTGGGACTGCTTTCCAGCCCTTGTTGGCGGCTTCAATTAAATACTTTATCGGAAAAATAGAAACTTTAAGTCCAAATGATTTTTCAGCTTCACCTGATTTAAGTAAATCTTTAACAAATAAAGTATTTAAAATTATTAGTAAAATAAAATTAGAAATGTCTTCAGAATTGTCAAAACACATTATTGTTGAGATTTATCGGTCAGCGGTTTTTGATTTATCTCTGCTAGATATTATAAGGCGTGAAAATTTGGCTTGAAGGTTATAAATCTATAAATGCAACCCCAAACAGAATTATCTTTGTTCATGTAATTTTGGTAAATAAGGCATTTAATATCATTGGTTTAAAGAAAACAGCTAAATCCTGGATTACTGACAGAAGAGAAAAAACCATTTATTTAACCTTAAGGTTCTTACTTAGGTAAACATCTGATATTCACAGTCCATAATAATGGTCAACAGGGACGTAACTGTAACCGGCCCATATGTTCATTTTGCCTGTTGCCCAGATAGAGTTGATTTGTCAAGACAGCGAATTGCAATAAAGAATTTAATACATATAGAGCTGGCTAAATTGGAGACCTGAATTTTATTATTACTCAAATCAGGCTCCCAGAAAATTCAGAAGCCAAGGTTTTTCAAGGATAGTTTGGGAGAAAGGTGCTGCTGCTCAGCTGGGGAGCAATTACAGGGGTGTGGAAAACAGTCCTCCTGCACTCAGTCCATTTCTTGAGTGGGGGCCACAGAGGAGTGGCTGATGCTGTTGGGGCCATCAAAGTCTGAAAAGTCATCTCAAAAAGCCAAACTTAGGCTCTAGTAATTAGGGAAGTTGCAAATCTTGTGACCTTTGGAATAAAGGCTGGTAATCCTTTAACTATACCTACATCTTAGCAGAAATCAGGCCCCTCTCATCCTCCTAAACTGGTGGGCTTTCATCAGTTTTATAAAGATGGTTTAGTTTTGGGTAGGGCTATTATCATATAAACTATAAACTATCAACTAAATTTCTCCCTAAGTTAGGTTGATCCATGCCAAGGAGTGATCAAGGGCTGTTTGGAGGTTAAAGGCAAGATGGAGTTGATTAGGTCAGGTCTCTGTCACTGTCAGTATTTTCTCACTGTTAAAATTTTGCAAAGCTGGTGTCATGACTTTAAATGATGACTAGCTTTGTCTAATATCACAGATTTTATAAGTAATCTAGGTAAACTGTTTAAAAAATTAATTAATTAGGTAAACATAATGGAATAAACGTAATGGAATAAACCTTCCATCCTGGGAGGCAGAGGTTGCTGTAAGCCAAGATCGAGCCACTGCATACCAGCCTGGGTGACAGTGTGAGACTCTGTCTCAAAAAAAAAAAAAGAAAAGAAAAGAAAAGAAAAGAAAAGAAAAGAAAAGAAAAGAAAAGAAAAGAAAAGAAAACTGAGATTTAAAAAAAATTGGCCGGGCGCGGTGGCTCACGCCTGTAATCCCAGCACTTTGGGAGGCGGAGGTGGGCGGATCACAAGGTCAGGAGATCGAGACCATGGTGAAACCCCGTCTCTACTAAAAACAGAAAAAATTAGCCGGGCGCAGTGGCGGGCGCCTGTAGTCCCAGCTACTCGGGAGGCTGAGGCAGGAGAATGGCGTGATCCCGGGAGGCGGAGCTTGCAGTGAGCCGAGATTGTGCCACTGCACTCCAGCCTGGGCGACAGAGCGAGACTCCGTCTCAAAAAAAAAAAAAAAATTAAGGTTATTATATCCATGTAACTTTCTGTATTTTAAAGTTCTTGTGCTACTAATTTTCTTGTGCTTATAAGTAAACATACAATTTAGAATCTTAAAGTTATATTAAATTACACTCATTAAATGTCCAGGTCATGTCCAATTTTTTAAAAATTGTAGGAAAACATTTTTTCAAAAAAAAGTGTTCTTATTAAAAGGAAAATAATTGTGTCCAATTCACAGATTATTTGTGAAACAAGATAAAAGGAAACAGAAAAGAGAGAGACAGGCCAGGTGTGGCAGTCTGTAATCTCAGAATTTTGGGAGGCTAAGGCGGGCGAATCACTTGAGATCAGGAGTTCAAGACCAGCCTGGCCAATAGGGTGAAACCCCATCTCTAATAAAATACAAAAATTAGGCTGGGCACAGTGGTTCACGCCTGTAATCCCAACACTTTGGGAGGCCAAGACAGGTGGATCACAAGGTCAGGAGATCGAGACCATCCTGGCTAACATGGTGAAACCCCGTCTCTACTAAAAATACAAAAATTAGCTTGGCGTGGTGTCAGATGCCTGTAGTCCCAGCTACTCAGGAGGCTGAGGCAGGAGAATGGCGTGAACCTGGGAGGCGAAGCTTGCAGTGAGCCAAGAGCACACCACTGCACTCCAGCCTGGGTGACAGGGCAAGACTCCATCTCAAAAAAAAAAAAAAAAAAATTATGTTATCAAGTTGGCTATAAATAAAAGGAAATTATAATAGTCTTTCTAGAGACTGGGCTTTGATATAAAAATACATCAATACTCAAAAGACTTGGTTAGAACAACATTTTTGTAAAGTATTATTTACTCTTAATAAATTGTAAGATAATTTACCCTAATTTTCAACTTTTATTGCATTTCAATGTTTTCAGCTTTCTCCCTCTTTATTTATTTATTTATTATTATTATTTTCTCTATCTCTCTCTTTTTCTTTAAGATGCAGTCTCCCTCTGTCACCAGGCTAGAGTGCAGTGGAGAGATCTCGGCTCACTGCAAACTCCACCTCCCAAGTTCAAGCGATTCTCCTGCCTCAGCCTCCCAAGTAGCTGGGACTACAGGTGCACGCCACCACACCCAGCTAATTTTTGTATTTTTAGTAAAGATGGGGTTTCACCATGTTGGTCAGGGTGGTCTTGATCTCTTGACCTTTGATCTGCCCACCTCAGCCTCCCACAGTGCTGGGATTACAGGCTTGAGCCACTGCACCAGGCCTCTCTCCTTTTTAAGGCCTGAGATGATAACTCTCTCCTTCAACTTTTTTTCAGCTCCTGTAACTTTTTTCCTTAGGTTTTAACTGTTGTTTGTGGTCTGATGCTAAAAAATACTTCATATTTAGGATGAAAATGAAATGTTTTCTTCTAATATAACATTCTATGCTCTTGACTTTTTAAAATATCTAAATTGTTCTATGAAACCAAAAAACTTCACTTATGTCCTGGGACACACTCTTCCTGTGTCTAATTAATTCAAGTGCCCTTTTCATTAGTTTTGACTCGAAGGTTATCTAAATGGAATCCCCATATGGAAAAGCACATCCTTTTTTGCCTTTTGGTAGCCAGCCTGAGAATAACATATTTTACATTTCATCAGACTAATTCCTACATCTTTACTAGGTTTTTATTTTTGCTCAGAAAAACTGAGATTTAAGGAGGCTGAGGTGGGCAGATCACAAGGTCAGGAGTTCAAAACCAGCCTGGTCAGCATAGTGAAACCCATCTCTACTAAAAATACAAAAACTTCGCTGGAAGTGGTGGCAGGTGCCTGTCATCCTAGCTACTTAGGAGGCTGAGGCAGGAGAATCACTTGACCCTAGGTGGTGGAGGTTGCTGTAAGCCAAGATCGAGCCACTGCATACCAGCCTGGGCGACAGTGTGAGACTCTGTCTCAAAAAAAAAAAGAAAGAAAAGAAAAGAAAACTGAGATTTTAAAAAATTAAGGTTATTATATCCATGTAACTTTCTGTATTTCTTTTAAAGTTCTTGTGCTACTAATTTTCAGTGCTTTGACTCCTGAGTCTAAAAAGGTCACCGACTCCCGCTAAATTGAGAGCAATTGAAGTCTCATCTTCAGATCTAGGAGAAGATGAAAATCAGAATAAGCTGCAGTCATGAGATGTGGGACCAGAAATTAAGACTATTCAAACCCTCTAGTCCCAGAGATTATTGAAGAAG